TTTTTTTTTTTTTTTTTTTTTTTTTTTTTTTTTTTTTTAACTGCAAAATCGTTTTCTTCTAGTAAAATTCTGGTTAGTAAAAAATCCTATTAAATGTTCCATGCTCTGTGCAAGGAGGGGTGTGAGGGTGGTCCTTAAAGTTGTGTGGTATCCCCACAGATCTGAAATTCTTTGACTATATTTTCCATGGATCATCTTCTCACACAAATACAGGAATAGTCTTTAGTTTGTATGAAATAAGAAGCACTTGTGTTTTCCAGCATGGAATGGCATGGATGCTTGTTTCAACAGTATTTAAGGCCTGAAAAACAAAAAGCAGAGATTTTATTGTTCATCATTACCCAAATGTAAGATACATTATCCTTTTTTTTCTCCTTCTCTTCATCTTTTCTATCACCTCTTTATTTCTCTTCCTAGTTCCTATTTGTCTTTCTCCTGGTGCACAGTATCTGCTCAATTTCCTGAGGTTTTCTTACTCCTTCAGAGTCTGTAAAACTCTTTAGATTTGTGTGTCACTAAAAATAAGGTAGAGATCTCTCCCTAATGTTCACATGCTATCCACTACTTCTGGAACTTACTCCTCTCATACTTCCTAGTGAATGACTCTGTTCCCCAGAGTAATCCCAGCCCCAAGCATCTGAAATTATAACACAGGTGTCTTATAATGTGCACACATTCTAACACGTGTGCACACTGTCTGGGAAGATCTTCTGGAGCACATGAGAGCATGCAGACACCATACCACATTGGCAGCTCTTGCTGAGCCTGTCTAAGGCACTGTATAACAGGAAAATATATTGTTTTTGTCAAAATAGAAACTTCCCAGGTGATTTCTGTGACCCTGCTCAGAGGAAGATGCTTGAAGGAAAAGCCTGATGAGCAATTTACTTACGAGTACCTGCCTGACATCTTCCTTACAACTGTAATTATTATTCCTGCAAGGATTCCAACTGCAACAATGATTCCAATAATTATTCCAAGCAGTGCAATTGTTCCCAGACCACCTGAAAGAAGAAAATTGGAATGTTAGTGTGTATCTCATGGAGACCATTGATAAGAGGCTACTGATAGACCTAGTGCTGTTCTGCTGCTCCTTGGGGAAATTTCTTACTGTCTTGTGAATTCTAAAGTAGGTTTGGATGTTCAGCAGGCTGCAAGCATGCCTTTGGGCTGATGGGCACCATATGGATGTGGATATGGAGACAGGGATCAGGTGAAGCAGGGAAAGCAGCTCAGGGAGCAGGTTGTGCCTCCCCTGGAGCTTTTATTGGATGGCATGGGCACAGGAAGGGGAATTGCCTGGCAGCTACTCTTCTCCCTTGTTTTTATAAGCAAATCTTTTTAATACCTTCATCAGTTGTCTCTGGTTCCCCACTCCGTTCCCCACCTGTAAATCCAGAAAGACAATAATTACTCCCTCAGCTTTGTACAGAGTGTTGCCTTCCAATTTGAAAGGCTATATCCAAGGAAAACTTTTCTTGACTTTGTCACAATGGCTTGAGCTTGTTCTTTTGATAGAAAGTGAGTAAATGAAGTTTGAGAGAGTATTTGAGATTTCCAGATATTGTTTAGTGGATGGCAGTATAACTTTGATATGTAAAAATAGAAATTAAAGGGATTTTTACCATCAACACTTTCTGTGTTAACTTCATAGGCAGTAGCATTTTCACTTTCTTCATCCACGATGAAGGTACTTTCTGTCGTCTTCATTTCTCCAAACTGCAAGAGATTTGTTACATGGTGTAATCTTGTGGGAAATGACAAGAATTGAGGGGGAAAGAGGGAGAAAAAATCCCTTAGTACATCCAGTCTACATGTGTAAAGTAACATTTAAATTTCTTGGTTTGTCAGGTGTGAATGCTTTTTTAGCTGTCACCTCTCATGTTTGACATGCATACAGTGACCAAACAAACCAAGATAAGCTGATTTGTCTTCCCAGCTAGAGGATTTCCACATCAGATCTCTTGGTAGGACTGCAAAAGGTGTAGAAGTGTAGAAAGCTGCAGAATTTTGCAGACCTGCCTTTTTTTCAGTGGGTTTTTGTAAAGTAGTTTTGAGTTTAGTTTCACTGAAACTGTTTGAGAGATCCTGAATTGGAAGAGGTGGGAAGTGTCAGTGAATAAGAAGGTAGCATAAAGGATCTTTTATTTAGCATTATATACTCACTATTGTTGGAAATTCTTCATATTCTGTGTCATTTCTGTCTCTGAAATCAATTGTTGCACTTTCTTCTCCTTCTAGAACTGAGCTTGCTGAATAAAATTTTAGAAAATTAGTCAGGATTTTACTTGGTAGTAACATGTTCTGGCTCTTCTGACACATAAACTTTTGAAAACATGACCTCTGTGGGATGTTCTGTCTCCCTGCCCTTGCCCACATGGAAATGGGAAATTATTTATTTGGAATAAGCTTGAATTCTGTTATACTCTTGTCCAAAGCAGTAGGACAAAAAGCTGAACTACCCATCACTTAACTCTGGTACAACCTTGAAACATACTGGTTATGAATATTTTGTCCAAGAAATATTTTCTTTTTTATTAAGAAAATTTTCTCCCAAGTGGAAGATTCCAGATTTCAAGCTAAACATTAGCTTATGTATTGGGATAGATTCCTTCAAGCATCTTCCATTTTCTAAAATAGTAAAAGATTTCTCCCATTTTTCTGTTCAGCCCCAGCTGCAATCTTTCTTCATCAATACTTATGGGTACAGCTATAGTTTTGAAATATTCCTACACAAATCAGTCTCGAGGCTTTCCTAGAGCTGCAAACCTTAGTTGCCATAACTTGAATTTTTAGATAACAATGTAAGACTTGGTTTTGGTGGGATTTTTTTGTTTTTTGTTTGGTTAGTTGGTTGGTTGGTTGGTTTTGGGGTTTTTTTTGGTTGGTGGGGGTTTTGTTTGTTTGTTTGTTTGCTTTAATTCTAGACCCCTAGTTCATCTGTACTCTTTGATAAAATGGATATTTAGATTTTGGTCCACACAATGCTGTTAATTTATAAATACAGCCAGAATTCATCAGTAGGGAAATGAGCTGGAATAAGGTAGAACAGGAAATATAGAACAGTGTGGAGATAACTGCAGTACCAAGAATGTGCTGAAGACCTAACTATCATTTAATCCAATTTCATGCTGATTCATAAACCTGTGACGGGCAGAGTGTGATGTTAATGTGGTGTGAGAGCTCCTGGGAGTTTGTAATTCCTGGTGATTACAAAGCCAGGTGAGGCTGCTTGTCCTGCTGCTGCCTGGGGCATAAAGGTCCTGCTAATTCCAGATACCAGTGCTGAAACTAAAGAAAATATCTAATAGTACATGTCCTGAGCAAGCACTTGAGGCAAAAAAAAACACTGAAAACTTTTCCTGGAGTCAAATTTTGCATCTTACTTCTATTTATCAAACCAACTAGATCAGAAGAAGGACAACTCTTGACAGCTCTCTTAAAAAATTAAAATTACTGTATCATTTGAATATCTTAGGTATGAGAAATAGTCACAACCTCTTTGTTTTATTGAATTGTAACACTGTTTCTACTAATGACACAATTTATTTAGTGATCTAAAAGCATTCTCATCTCCTCTGCATATGAAGTTGGACAATTTCTGAATTGTTAGATTGATTCCAAATGCTTTTTATGGAAAACTTTACTACTCCTAAATGCATTCTACTTGTTTTATAAATGATATGGAGGCAAGTAAACAGCTTTTATTCTGTAACTGAAATTAGAAAGGATGGGGATTTTTCTTGAAAGCAGCCAAAAAATTAATATAAAATGTAGAATCTCTTCAGATTAGCTGTGCAGATATCACTCAGAAATAGTTTTTCTTTAATTGTCAGTTCCATTTAAATTTTGTTCATTTTTACCTGTCCCTTTTAATATAAACATGTTATTTCAAATAAAAAAGTCAATATTTAATTTTAAAATTGGTAAAAAAAATAATGTACTGGCAGCTTAGAGAAAATTTTTCAAGCAGAAGATGAATGATTTGCCATTGAGAAAAATAACTCCTGGCTTTGCTTGAAACTCTCATTTGAATTCTACTGGAAACTTGCAAATATTATTCCTTTAGTTCAAAAACTGTTTTCTGAACCAAACTAGAAAATTTTTATCCATCTCAACCAATATAAGACTGAGAGATTTGTCCCATTACTAAGACACCAAACACTGAACTAAACTTAGATTTCTAATTCCATGTTTATTGAACTAAAGAGAATTTTATATTTCTGTGTCCTTATAAACCTGAATACAGATACAGTTTCTATTTAGAAGCCAAATGGTGTGTGCAGGTAGTTCTTTAGGCTGTCATAGATGAAGAAACTTTATTCATGTTATGCCAACATGAGGCCAAATATAGTGGCTAATAAAGCCAGTCAGTCTTCCAGAAATCACTTTATAATCCATGGAAAAACTAAAACAGGGGAAAATCAGAGTTCCAAATTAGATGCTAAAAATAATGGTTTGGTCATTTTTGATTGAAATACCCCAGATATTGTTGAAGTAGCATAAAAGGGGCTGATCTTTTGTGGTATATTTAGACACTCTCTAAGTATCAGTGCCTGCAGCACTATTTTATAATCATATTTTTTGCTTCTTAAACAATATCTTTAAAATACAATACTGTGATGTACAATCACAGCTACATAAAGTGTGAACAAAGAAATAGCAATAGAACTCAGTAGCACAAATGTGTATGGATCAGTTCACCTTGCAATCCCAGTCAGAACTGAAGAAACATCCTTTATTCACTAGTTGAAAATAAGCACAGATGGAGAAAACCAATTACTAGAGGAAAATCCCCAGTAGAAGGTGAAATAAATTTTGTGTGTTAACAACAAGCAGCTTATTGGGAGAAGCTGCTTATACTCCTGGCATGGCAGTAACTTTCAGCCCTGAAAATAGCCTGATGGTGAAGGCAGGAAAGGAAAGCATGTCACACAGCAAAGGTGTAGAAAATTAATGAATGTCACAAAGAAACATAAAATAATTTTTCTCTGTGTGATGCCTGTTGCAGATTCTTGGCCATGGGTGGCATGTAGAAAACCTATTTCAGTGCCTTTGCCCTGTCAGAACTGTGATTGACAAAAGGAGGTGACCCAGATTAATCTTGCCTAATTTTAGGTTCTTAATAAAGGCACCTAAATAAAGTGTCTACTTGCCCTTATCTTCTTTTATAGTCTCTAGGGGAAAATAAATACCTCTAAAGATAATTCAGCTCACTTGAGATTTGGGTCATCCTTAGTAGTGCTGCCTTTCCTTAATTGCAAAGGGAAATTGGAATGTGGCTTCCCTATGAACTGCCCAAGGCTCTGACTGATCTGGTCTGGTTTCTGTCAATCTGAAGTTCTTGTCCCAGCCTTGTTCAAGCTGAGATTCTCTGTCTGATGCAGAAAAATCCCTGGACTCTATTTCCAGGTTCATTTTAGACTGGCAGTGGAGGGGGCTGGCTGGTGGTTAGTGGTTATTTCTGTGGGTAATACCAAACTATTACCCACAGAAAGAGTGGGAGGCATTTCATTCTCAGTGTTCTGCATTTGTAGGAAGCAACACTGCCTGCTAGACAGCTCTATGTCAGAGAAAGTCATAATGAAGTTAAATATTGAAATGGAATTGGGAGACACTACTGGACTTTAAGCTTCTTCCACTGTACCCAGTACAAGGCTCAGCACCAGTGACATCAAAGGGGATGTAAATGGGATTGAAGGGGTGTGTGCTTGTGTCATTTCTTGGTTTCATCTGATGTGGGCCAAATGTAGCAAGAGTCAGGGTTGAATGGTGCTTCTGCATGTGTTCTTAATATTATCTTAGAGGAGGTTGTAAATAAAAACATTGCCTCACAGTGCTGGCACTGTCTCCAAGGAGCCTCCTCTGTTTGCAGCTATATGTTGCTGCAGATGTGAATTAATCATTGCATCCCTTTCTGCCAAAATTCCAGCTGGGAGCCCTTTCAGTTCAAAGTCCCAGCTGCTCTCAGGGTGCAGCTTCTCACACCAGGACAAAATTTGATGTCTTTAAAAGCTTAATACTACTTTGAAAACCTCCTATGCTTAACCATCCCATGACCCACTTAGGGGAAGCTGAGCTCACTACTTCCACGCACAGAGTGACAATTTACTAGAGAAACCTCTCAGAGCTGCTTTCAAAGCACAGTGGTTGTGTTGGAAAGGAGAGGGAGTTGTAAAACTGTTGTTCATTAGCATTTCTTTCAGGTATCTCCAAAACCAACAAAGATACTTCTGAAGATGAAAAATGTTGTAGGATCTTGCTTCTTTCCTTGCATAAACCTAAATAAACCCAAACACTAGGTGGGTAAAGGCAGTTGTAGGCCTATATTTTAGCTTAGTCCTTGAAATAGTAGGCCATCAAAATAGAATGTTTCCATTTCTGGTAAGAGACCAGGAGAAAAAAATGGCAAACCTTAAAGGATTCCCTCTAGCAGGAAATGTAATAATCCTTTGCTCAGTGCCCTCTGCTTCTGCACACAAAAAACAAACAAAAAAAACCCCAACAAAACAAAACAAAACAAAAACAACCAAAACCAAACCAAACCAAAAATCCAAAACAAAAAAAAAAAACAGCTTCAGTTATTTATAAATAACAGCTAAAGATATTAGCTAGCAGACAGTTTAGCAGGATGGGACACTTTGGACATATCACTTTTCTGTTGGAGATGTAGCAGAGCAAACATCTGCAGCTGACTGATGGTTTTCAGTATCTGCTTCCGGAATTTCAACAGACCAAGTGGTGTTGTTTGAAAGACTGTGTATGGATGTGTGTGTTGGCCATCCTGTTTTGACTGCATTTTATTCAGCATTTATGTCCTGATACAGGAATTCCCTTTCTGCAGAAGTATCCTTCACTTAAATACCTTAATTTGATTGTGAGCAAACAGAGTCTTAATCAGTATCTCATTATTGGAATTGGTTCTGTTGTAGTTCAATGAAAACTTCTATTCATGGTGGTAAAGGTTTAACAAAAATGCAGGATTTGCAAGGGATCTGCCCTTTAAATACAGCAGCTCTGTAATTTTCAAAAGCAGTTTTGTCTGTGATTTGGCTTCATCCTCAATTTAAGTATATTCCAGACTCATGTCCAAAACCTATAACAGTAGCTTAATTTTGTATGAGAATAGTTTTCCATTATTTTTATACTTTTGGATTTTTTTTTTTTTTAAGTACACAGGTGTCTCTTTGGTTGTGAAATCATTCAACACTGCCAAATCCAAGCCACAAAATTTTTGTACTTTGAAAATGCA